CGGTTCCCAGTTGTTACAAGTATGACTGCTGCTATTAACCCTAAGTCAAGCACTTAACGTGTGTTAAGCATTTTTGCAGTTATTTCCTTGAATGCACGCTGCAACTCTGGGGGGAAACTAACACTAAACCCATTTTACAGATGCGCAAACTGAGGCTCCTGAGGCTCAGGGATGTGAAGCCATTTGCCCAAGGTCACTCAGCTTTCAAGTAGCAAAGACAGGATTAGAAGCCAGATCTAGAAAGACTCCAAAACCCCTGAGTTCTGCTGCCTCCTTTATGTTAAAGACATTGTTACGGGTCATCTGGTGACTCCAGAGGAAGGGGGGGTACCCCTCTGCTCACCTACCTCCCCAGTGCTGTGGATTACATGTGACGTGGGGCCTGGGGCTGGGTTCAGCCACTCCCTCCTTACAATGCTCCCTCTAACAGTGCTCATGCCGGCCAGGTCAGGCATGGCTGTGTTCTCCTGGCCTGTGTCTGTGCCTGTCTCCCCACTGGCCTATGCGTGTTGAGGGCAGGGCTGTGTTGTGGTCCCCCTAGATCAGCTCCCACTTCCCTACCCAGTCCTTGGCACATGGTGGGGACTCACTAAATGTTGCCTGAATAAATAAACAAATGACAGCTTTTGTGGGCATGCCTGGTTCAGAGTCATGTGAAACAGTGCAGCCACCCCCTCACCCCTCAATCCCTCCTAGAACACCATGCTCCCAGGATGGGGACAGGTAGCCCCACAGACATGGCTGAGGGCTCTGGGCCTGGGAGTGGGGGTGAGGGATCCTCCTCCAGTATCTGTCCCTGAAGGGCCCTCAGCCAGAGGGAAGTTCCCCACCCCACACCTCCTCCTCTTGCCTCAGTGTCAGCTCAGACGCCGCCTCTGAGACTGCATTGGCACCTTGCCCTGCAGCCCACAGCCTCTCCTCGGACACTTGTCCTAGCCCTGCCACACTGCATGGCCAACGTCATGTCTGTAGGTCTGTCCCTCCCACTCCAGCGATGAGTTCTTGATGGTAGGTGCCTGATGACAGTTTGCCACCTGAATGGGCAGCAGATGTCACAGAAGCTCGGTGGCTGGGTGTTGGCCATGGTGGCAGGCATCACACACATCCTCAGGAACTCGGTTTGAGACTGGGGCTGGGGTCCCATAGAAGTGGCCTCCCGTGGAACTAGCTATCTCATGGGTTATGGTGGAAGCCAGGTGCCCAGACCCAGTGTGGGAATGGAACTTGTAGCCAAGCTCATGGGAAGTTGAGTCACCTGCACTTCTGAACGCTGGCTCTTTAAATCTCCCTGGGCTAAGGCTGCGACTGCCCCCAGAGTCTGGGCAGGGCCAGGCCAGCTGTTGGAGAGAGGAGAGAGGCCCCAGCTGTGGGAAGGCAAAAGCCAACAGCAGCCAGGAACCAGGCAGGACTTACAAATGGTGACATTTCAGGCACAGTGCAGGGGCCTTTGGGGACAAGTAGGTCCCTCAGGCATTCATGCCGCAAACATTTGCTGAGCCTGAGCCGTGGCAGGCACTCTGCTAGGCACTGTGAGGGGAGGAGGGATAGAGAGGTGCAGAGACATGCCTCCCACCCTGGGGAGCAGAGACATGTAAACAGATAATTCTAGGTCAATGAGATAAGTGCTAATAGAGGAATTAGCCAGCGCTCTGGGAGCTCAGAGGAAGTAGACCAGCCTAAGAGGTCGTGGGAGGCCATAGAGTGAGCCTGAGAAGTCTTTGAGACCAAGAGGGAAGGGCATTTGAGAGCAGGAACAGCATGTGCAAAGGCAAGGTGACCTGTGAGCCCCACGGCAGGCAGCCCAGTGCAAGCAGACAGCACAAAGTCCAGGCCACGGCCTTCAGTGGCTTGCACAGGGGCCGGGGCCTTTCCAAAGGCAGGGAAGCAACCCAATCTGATCTGCGTTTCAGACAGCCCACAGCGGCAGAAGTTCAGAGGGGAGCTTGCAGATGCCAGGCAGCCGTAAATCTACTTCCCAAGGGTGTGAGGGCAGAGCTGGCCCCAAGAGAGCAAGATGCTCCTCCTCGCTGAGCTGGTGGCAAGGGGCAAACGGGATCACGGATTTGAGTTCTGACAAAGCCTGGTGACCTTGAGCAACGTCCTCCCCTGCCTGGGCCTTGGCTTCCTCATTTATAGAATGATTTGAGATGCAGGGGAGGCCAACGAGATAACCCGCGGTGTTTCTTGCAGCCTCGGCACTCTGGAACCACTGCCAGGGTCCCTCAGAGACGCAGGAAGGTGCGGGAGGAGGTCTGGGCTCCTCTTGGCATGGCCTCCACAAACCGCCACGGAAGGAAGCCTGGGCAGGCACCCGCCACCCACCTGCCATGGCTCATCAAAGAGCGATGTCTGGCCTGACCCCGCTGCCCAGCCAGGGTGGCCAGGGCTGCTGACCCAAGCACGGGCCTCTCCGGGTGCTCAGGGCTTCTCAAGAACCTAAGTACGGTCGTGTAACCAAAGCGTGCAGCCAGGAACAGTCAGAACCAGGGCTTGGGACACTGGCCGGTGTCCTCCCTCCCCACGCCGTTCCTTACACTTCCCTAGGTCCTGCTCCCTAAATGTGCCCTAGTCTCAGCCGAATTAAATCTCCTGTGTTCTGACGTCCCCCACTCACCTCATCCCCCCAGGCAGAGTCTGCTCTATTCTTCTGACAGTAAAAACACAAAAGTGGTTAGTGTTTGCCAAGTCCCCAAGGACGGCTAGACACTGTGCTGACCACCCCTCCTCAGCTGCCCCTCAACAGCATCTAGTGCCAACATTTCCTCTCCAGGCGACAGAGGAGGAAACTGAGGTTCAGAGGAGTACCGTGTCCCTGCTGGGCTTTGCATCTGCATCTGCCTTCCTGCAAAGCCTGTGACCCATCCCACCCCCATGCCGCCTGGAACAGCAGGGAGAATGTTTGTACGGGGGTCCCTGCAGACAGCTTTGTCCAGTTCTGGAAGGACCAGTGAGGAGAGTGGTGTCTTCCTTAGACACGCACAGTCCTCTCAAGCTCATCCTTGGGCCAGACTCGGGCTCCAGCGTCAGACATTTGGGGTCTCTGAGATGCTGTCAGCTCCCAGGCTAGTTCACCACAGCGCCGGGACAGAGAGAGGAGGCAGCGGAGCCACCTCGGGAATGACGCAGTGGCGCTGCCCGCCCGGGGCCTGGGGAGTGAAATGGCTTCACAGTGGCCGTGCCTCTAGGAGGAATGGAAGAAATAAATGGGGGCCTGGAAAACAAGGTCAGCAGGCAGTCGGGGGAAATGACAGACAGCTCGGAAGATGGAGCTACTGAGGACACGCAGAGGAGCCAAGAAGTCAGGATCCGCACCCTGAGCCCAGAGCGCCGAGGATTTACTGCTGACTCCAGGCCTCTGTGGAATCAGCCTCCAAGTCACGCGTCCCACTAGGAATGGTTTGAGACCATCCAAGAAATATTTGGGCAGCTCTAGAAGTGCAGGAACCGCTGCCCATCCCCATGTGTCGAGAACAAACAAATAAGAATTAAACCAGAGACGGCCGCTCTGAGACTTGCTCCCCACCTCCCTGTCCTCCCCTGGATGGGCTGGTGTCCCGCCTTAGGCTGTCGTCTGGGGAGAAGGAGCCTGCCTTGTTGGCAGGGGTCATTGCTCACTGTCCGGGCTGTGTGCTAAGTCTTGTTGTCATTTATGGCTATTATGTCATCATTATCTTGTCATTTGTGGCTGGCAAGAATATCCACAGTGAGTTGCGATTTGCTTTCTTTTGTCCTCTTTCTTACCCTCGCTCTCTCATAATTAAGAATTCCATTTAACTGTTTCGTTAACAGACACTGTTGGCTTCCTACCCTAAACTCTTCCCCGCCTTCTTCCTGGAAAGCCCGGCTTTCCCCTGGCTTTCTGGTTGAGGTGTCTGCTCTGCCTCCTCTTGACTTGAGGGAGGGGGGCCCTTCCCCTCCACAAAGGACGTCCTGATGGGCTGGGTCCCCACGGCGCCATCCCCTCTGCCAGTGCTTGGGCTGGGAACGAGCATGTGACGCATGTCTGGCCACTGGGGCATGGAGGACTGTGTGGGTGCGTCTCCAAAAGAGACACAGAAGACCAGAGTCGGAGGACTCCACTGCCTGACTCGAAGTCGTATTCTAAAGCGGCAGGAGCTGAGACCGTGGTGTAGGCAAAAGGAAAGACAAACCAGTCAGCAGGACAGAACAGAGGGCCCAGAGACAGATCCGCATTTACATGGCCAATTGACGCTTGGCAAAGGTGCCCACGGCGAAAGGAACACTCACGGTGCTGGAACAACTGGATATCTGTGTGGCAAAGCAGGGAACCTCGATCCCTACCTCACACCAGACACGAAAATGAATTGGAGCGGATTCAAAGGCCTCAGTGTAAAAGCTAAACCAGAAAGCATCTAGAAAAAAAAGACAAGGAAGAAAGAAAGTGGGGTCCCTCTTCTACTCAGTGCTGTGATGTCTGCATCGGAGCCAAGGAACTGCGCACCCGTGTTGAAACCGTGAGGAACCAGCCCAAACACGGCGTGTAGAGAAAAGGGCTTCGGGTCTGCCCTGTGTATGGCTTTCTTGTTATGTGTGATGGTGCACGGTTCAGCTAATAGCGCTGCATTCTCTGTTACTACAGCCAGAAGCATTCCCACAGAGACAGGCCTGTCCTTTTGTTTTCCCACCACACAGTATACCGTTCTACATAACTGTTTCTGTCCAGCCGATAAACACAAAACAGGGGACACTGACCTTCATGAGGAGTCTGAGGGATTGCTAAACAATGTCTTCTACGACTAGATCTCTCCTCATGTGCTGACTTTGGACTCCAGCCCCAGGGGCAGGTGCTGAGGTGCCCTGAAGAAAGAGCTGGGGTTGTCCTACTGCAGAAAGTGACCCATGGGGCAAAGTGCCTCCAAAGGCCAGAGACCACACTGGACTCATTTTCATTCGTAACCCCCAAGGCCAAGACAGCATCTAGAACACAGCAGAAGCATAATAAATAGGTGTTGTATGAATGGATGGATAGAACAGGAAAATTGCAAGCCCCTTCCTTATTTTATTGACTCATAAGCTTGATCGGTACAGTTAACATACAATAGGTGGTTCCTAGTTCCTTTAACAATTCCCCATAACTTATACTCTCTCATTACTTGAATCATCTCCCTAGGGGTTTGAAGAATGTGGACAGTCCCTGTGTTGGGGACAGGGCCATTAAAGCTGGCATTTCTGTGCAGTCTGACCTTCCCCCAAGCCAGGAACTCCCCCACCCCCTGCCGCCTACATGCCCACCGTCAGCACTACTTCCGCCAAGTTGAACAGCAAAGATGCAGAGACGTGTTCTAGAAGCCCCTGTGACACTGCCCTCGGCTCGGATAAGACGTCCCCAGCCGCTCCCATCAGCCCATCGCCCCGGTCTGTTCAGCAGATGAGCTCTTGTCAACCAGAAGATTCCGAGAGCCTGTCTCCAAGGGAGTGGAAGGCAAGCATGACAGCCAAGAAGAATCATTTCAAAGCGCTCAAAGATGCCAGGTCAAGACGGCGGGGCGGCAGGAACACATGATGAGGCAGCTGCTGTGAAAAACAATTTGGCGGTTCCTCAAAAAATTAAACATGGAATGACCACATTACCCAGCGATTCCACTCCCAGGTGTATGCCAAAAGAATTAAAACCAGGTGTGCAAACAAAACCCTGTACACTGATGTGCACAGCAGCACTACTCACAATAGCCCAGAGGCGGAACAACCCAAGTGTCCATCAGCGAACAAACAGATAAACAACATGTGGCCGAATAGAATATTACTCGGCCATAAACAGGAGCAAAGTGTCAGTACACGCTACAACACGGATGAACCTTAGAAATGTGATGCTGAGTGAAGGAAGCCAGACACAAAAAGCCTGGAGTCTGGAAATATCCACAATAGGCAAATCCAGAGAGACAGAAAGCAGATCAGTGGGTGCTGGGGCAGGAGGGATGGGGAGTGACTGCTTAAGGGGTGCAGGGTTGGGGGGAGGGGAAAGCGCTCTGCAACTAGATCGTGGTAATGGTTGCAAACATTGTGAATGTGCTACATGTGCTGAATTGTACATTTTAAAGTAATTAAAAGAGTGAATTTTATGTACGTGTATTTCATCCCAATTTTTTTTAAGCAGGGTATGGCTGCCTGGGGAGGGCAGTTGGCAAACCAGAGGAAGGGGATCTCAACTGACCAGAGTGCCTGGGGAGGCCAGCTGGGGCACCCTCTTCCCCTAAGGGAGGCTGAGTCCAGCCCCCGCAGTGGGGGTGATGGGTTCTGGGCCCTGCCTGAAGCTCTCTTACCACCCTGGACCCCTCCCCACTAGTCTCCTTTAAGTACCTGCCAATTTAATTTAGCCTTGGGAAGTCTCCCCCAATGACCGAAGAATCCACAGTGTTACCAAGATGATGTTGATCAAGGAAAAAGATCAATCCTAACCATTATGCCGTGACAGCTGACCTTTGATTAAAGCAGAGAATTGCAAAAGGAATCAGATTAAAGATGTTTAAATTTATGGTGTCTGGAGTTGCTTCCCAAGAAACTCCATTTGGAAAATCTGAAGGAAAGAAATGATGCTCCCCGGCCCAGACATCAAGCCACGACCTTCTTAGCATGAAGAGGAGCTGCTTGCCAAGGGCCGGGATTTATGGGGTGGACTCCGTCAGCAAAGGAGATCTAATTACATCTCATTTGACATTTAGAATTAATAGAAACAGGCAGGAATGAAAGCCTCAAGAACAAAGCAGTCAGTAGCTGCTGCATGCGCACACAACACAGAGCCTGCAGTGTACATTTGTCTTGAGCCTGGGAATTCCCCTGCACAAGGCTTAGTGAGGAGCAGAACTTGCTTCCGACCATAGATGCCAAGATGTCAGTCACTCGCTTTCCTATCATCTCCTGCAGCTGAGGCATGCATGTGTCACAGGCTCCACCCATCAAATACACTCACCTCTGGAACCAGAAACCCAAAGAAGCTGGTGGCCCCTTAGTGGCGGTGGCAGGGGCAGTGGAGTGAGCCACGGCCTCTAGTCATCAGACTAGGGCTGCGATGGCTTCAGGGGCTTGCGTCTGCCTGGGTGGCACCAAGCATCATTCTGTACCTCATGTGTGAGCACTTAATAGTGCTGCTTAAGTCAGGAAAAGTCACACTTTGGGAGGCCGGGGCAGGAGGGCTGTTTGAGGCCTGGAGTTTGACATCAGCCTGGACAACATAATCAGACTCCAACTCTACAAAAATTAAAAATTAAAAAAAAAAAAATTAGCTGGGTGTACTCTGTAGTCTGGATACTCTGGAGGCTGAGGTGGGAGATTGTTTGAGGTTGCAGTGAGCTGTGACTGAGCCACTGCACTCCCGCCCTGGCGACAGAGCAAGACTCTGTCTCTAAAACTAATAATAATAATAATAATAATAATCAACAAACGTTACCTTCTGTTGCCTACAATTAAGAACTCTGCTCCATTTCTTCTGGTAATGGCTTCCAAGAGACGTCCCCCAACCAAGGAGTGGTCACGTGACCCAGGCTGAACTAATCATCGTATCCCATTCCTCCAGCTACAGTGATTGGTCTAGAGATGGGCATGTGACCCACACAGAGCCAATCAACACCTTGCCCTGGCATGTTCCTACTGGGGAAGAATGTCTCTTGTCTCGGAGGTCGTGGGACTCACAGGCTATGTATTGGGGGCCAGCAGCCATGTTCCCTATCAGTAGGGGTCATCTGCAGTAGGACAGAATGAAAGCAGCGGAGTCAAGAAGCAGAGAGAGAAGCTTGACATCCTCCAAGTCCCTGCTGCCACCGTATTTCCTGCAGCGTGATTGTGTGAATCAGTAACTTCCCTTCTCTTGCTTAGGCTCGTCCAGGTTGGATTTCTGCCATTTGTAACAAAAATCCTAAATAAAGAAGGTGGGAAATGCTACTTTATTCAGGAGATGCCTCAATGAGCCTGTTTTTCTCTTGAGATGACAACTGACTCATGGCTAAAAGGAGCAAAATCCCCAGGCACAAAAACGCCATTGGCAGGCCAGGCGTGGTGGCTCACGCCTGTAATCCTAGCACTCTGGGAGGCCGAGGCGGATGGATTGCTTGAGGTCAGGAGTTCGAGACCAGCCTGTGCAAGAGCGAGACCCCATCTCTACTAAAAATACAAAAGAATTAGCCAGGCAACTAAAAATAGAAACAAAAAATTAGCCGAGCATGGTGGCGCATGCCTGTAGTCCCAGCTACTTGGGAGGCTGAGGCAGGAGGATCGCTTGAGCCCAGGGAGTTGGAGGTTGCTGTGAGCTAGGTTGACGCCACGGCACTCTAGCCTGAGCAACGGAGTGAGACTCTGTCTCAAAAAACAAAAACAAAAAGAAAAAAAAAAAAACGCCATTGGCAGAGGCCAACATTGGTCCGTCGGCAGATATTAATTAAACATCTTCCTATGTGAGGTCCTGGCCTAAGCACTTTCACTATGTGTAAAACAATCCGGCATCCAGCAAGCACTCAATAACTGCTGGGTACAGCAAGCTATTATTAGCATTGGTCCCCATAGCTCCTTGCCATTTACAGCTCAAGTGGAGGGTTTGGAAAGGAGCAGGTTCAGGATTTGGGATGGGTGTTTTCCCCAACATCTCTGACTAAGGCCTCACCCCAAGCAGTTCCTCCTTGCCCTGTGAACTTAAAAAGGGAAAAATATATTTCTTTGATATAACCAGAACCGTGCTCACTGAGGGAGTTGATGACCTTTCTTGGAGGAAGCAATCCACTTTAAATATAGAACTTTAATAATTAAAGAGTTCCCTGAATTCCAATCGCAACATTCTTGCCAAGTCTCCCTCCCTGGGGCAGGAGCGCAATTCTGCACCTTCCCGGCCTGGAAGGGGAGAAAGTGCACGCCCCCCCACACACACACAAACTCCTGTAGGGTGTTCCTCGAATTAACACATGGAACTCGACAGCTTGGCCTCTGTCTGACAGCCGGGCCCCGCTCGGTGAGGCGTCACAGCCAAAGGAAACACCAGTGGGACTCAGCAGCAGCAGAGAGGCCGGTCGGTCTTTGCTGAAGACGCTTGGCGTGTCAGCGAAGGGGGACTCACACCTCATAGCCCTCGTTCGGCTTCCCGCAGGCCCCTTTCAACACGTCTTCCCCCAAGGCCTCTCAGGTTCACAGCCGCACCTCCTCCAGTCTCTTCCTCTCTCCCTCGCTCCAGCTCTCTTCTCCCTTGCAAATCTATCATTTTCTCCATCTGATAGCAATGAGCTCCTTCTAAAAGGCAAACAAATTTAGTGCCTTTAGACTTGTCCTAACTTCTTCACCCACTACCCCTCCTCAACCCACAAAACCCCAAAGAAAACAATAAAATCTTCTTTATGAGGTCAGGAGGGGGAAAGGCAGTGAACACTCAGACTGCTAGTAACCTTCCCTCCTCAAAAATGGCATCAAAAAACATAATGATAAGTAAGTTCTAGGCATACATGTGTTTGGATGTGCGTAGGCATAAAACTCTACCGTTAGCCATGAACTCCCCTTTAGGGAGCAGGGGACTGGTGAGATTCAAACCTGTGTGTGTGGGTCTGCCTCCCAAGGTGGGACAATAAATGACCCCAATGCTGCCATCAGGACCCAGCGCCATGCTCTGACTCAGCCTCCCAGGTGATCAAGCCATGTTGCCCTTCAGAAGTAAAACTGTGTCCTCTACTTGACCAATTCCTGCAATGGTGGCTCTGCTTCTCTCAGTAATTGATAGAGTAGCAGGTAGAAAATCAGCAAGGGTACGGGATGACTGAACAATACCACCAACTACCTGCATCTCATTGACATTTATAGAATGTTCCACCCACCATCAGAATACACATTCTTTTCTATTGTGAAAAATCACCAAGATACAACAAATCCTGGGTGGTAACAAACCTTAACAGATTTAAGAGAACTAAAATATATAAAGTATGTTCTCTGACCAGAATGGAATTAAACTAGATAGCAATAAGGAAAATGAAAACACAAGGTATCGAAATCTTTGGGATGTGGGTAAAGAAATGCTTAGGGGAAATTTTATAGCATTAAATGCTCATATTAGAAAAGAAGACAGTCTCATATCAATAATCTAAGCTTCCACTTTAAGAATATGGAAAAAGATGTGCAATATAAACCCAAAATGTTAATATAAGGAAGGAAATAAAGAGCTGAAATCAATAATGTGGAAGTCAGAAAGATAATAGAGAACATCAGTGAAGCCAAAAGCTGGGTCTTTGAAAAGATCAATAAAATTGATAAACTTCCAGTATGACTAACTAGGGAAAAAAGAAAAATCACCAATACCAGGAATGAAAGAAGGGGCATCACTACAGGCCCCACAGACATTCAAAGGACAATGTCAAAAACTCTGTGCACATACACTCCACAACTTACATGAAATGGACAAACTCCTCTAAAAGTGCAAAGTACCAAAATCACCCAAGATGAAGTAGATAATCTGATTCACCCTGTAACTGTTAAAGAAATTAGATTTGTAACTTAAAATTTTTTCAGAAAGGAAGACTTCATGCTCAAATTGTTTATTGCTGAATTATACCAAATATTTAAAGGGGGGAGGAAACAATTTTACTCAATAAAAGAGAACACTTTCTAACTGATTTCAAGAGACCAGCATTACCTTGATACCAAAACCAAAGACATACAATAAATGAATGCTACAGACCAATGTTTCTAATGAACACAGATGCAAAAATCCTCAACAAAATATTAGCAAAGCAAATTTGGACATACATAAAAAGAATACTATACCAAGACTAAGTGGCGTTTATCCTAGGAACACAAGACTAGTTTTATATTCAAAAGCGATCGATGTGATTCCCCATTTGAAGAGAGAACATCGTATGATCATAGCAATTGATTCAGAGAAAGCTTTTGACAAAATTCCACATTTATTCATGAAAAGGCTATTAGCAAGTAGGAATGGAAGAGAATTTACCCCCACCTGATAAATGGTATCTGCAAGAAAAGGACAGTTAACATCCTACGTTGTACTGGCAAGAGACAGAACACTTTTGCCCACGACTGGGAGCAAGACAAGGATGTCCATGCTTGCTGCTCCTCTCCAAAGTATTACAGGAAGATCCAGTCAGCATAGTCAGGCAAGGAAACAACAGTCCTCTAGACTGGAAAGGAAGAGCTAAAACTGTTCTTCTCTTCAGATGACATTGTTATCAGAATAGAAGATTCCAATAAATTTACCAAACAAAGAAAAAGCCCCAGAACTAATAAGTGAGTTTAGCATGGTAGCAGGATCAAGGTCAACAGACAAAAATCAATCTTATTTCTACTCACTAGTAATGAGCAACTGGAAATTAACATTTTTTTTAAAAAAACAATACCATTTACAATAGCTCCCCAAAATGTGTTACTTAGGTATAAATCTAAGAAAGCATGTATAAGATCCATATCTGAAAACTGCAAAATGCTGATGACAGGAAGCAAAGAAAGCCTAAAGACATGGAAAGACATGCTCTGTGCATGGATGGGAAGGCCCAGTACAGCAACTGAGCTGCAGACTTCATGAAATTCCAAAATAAATTAATGCAAGTATTTTAAAAAGAGATAAACTTATTCTGAAAGTTACACTGTCATGCAAAGGAACTAAAATACCCAAAGCAATTTTGGAAAAGAAAAAGTGGGAGAAATCACGCTACTCCATTTTAAGACTTACTATACAGGAGCAGTTATCAAGACAGTCTGGTATTGACAAAGGGACACACTGATCCTTGGATCAGAATAGAAAATCTGGAAATAGATCCATACGATTATGACTAATTTTTGACAAAAATGCAAAGGCATTTCTATGGAGAAAGGATGATCTTTTCCCCATATGGTCTTGGGACGACTGGACATCCATAAGCAAAAAAACCAACAATAATAAAAAAAAAACCTTGATGTAAACCTCACACCTTATACAAAAATCAATTCAAAAGGGATCACAGGTGAAAATATAAAAAAAACATAAAATCTAAAACTTTTAGAAGAAACATAGGAGAAAATATTCATGACTGGGAGATAGGCAGAGAGTTCTTAGACGTGACACCAAAACCACAATCTATAAAGGGGAAAGTTGATAAATTGACTTCATCAAAATTAATAGTGTTTGCTCTGCAAATGACACTGTTAATGGAGTGAAAGGACAAGCTACAGACTGTGAGAAAATATTTGCAGATCACATATCCCACAAAGGACTTTATCCAGAATGAGAGCTCTCAGAATTCAACAATGAGAAAACAACCCAAAGAGGACATTGGCGATGGCAAATGTTCACTATGCTCAGTGTCATTCGCCATCAGGGAAAGACACATTCGAGCCCTCATGAGATATCATCACGCACTTAGTGGAATGGCAAGATTTGAAAAGAATACTTGGCCGGGCACGGTGGCTCATGCCTGTACTTTGGGAGACTGAGGCAGGAGGATCACTAGAGCTCAGGAGTTTGAGGCCAGTCTGAACAAGAGCAAGACCCCGTCTCTACTAAAAATAGAAAAATATTAGCCGGGCATAGTGGTGTGCACCTGTAGTCCCAGCTACCCGGGAGGCTGAGGCAGGAGGATCGCTTGAGCCCAGGAGTTTGAGGTTGCAGTGAGCTGCAATGAGGCCACTGCATTCTACCTGAGGTGACAGAGCAAGACACTGTCTCAAAATAAATAAAAAGAATACCGACAATTCTGAGTGCTAGCAAAGATGCAGCAGAGCTGGAATTCTCACTCATTGCAGGTGAAATGCAAAGTGGTACAGCCGCTCTGGAAAACAGTTTGGCAGATTCTCATCAAGTTGCGCATGCGCCTGCCATCTGAGCC